CATTTTCCACATTTCCAAATCTAAATATAGCAGAAAATATTTTTAAACATATTTTCTCTGGTGTCCATATATCCTACAAATTTTCTGATGAGAATTTTACAGTTACATTGCATCATAGAAATCATTTTCCACATTTCCAAATCTAAATATAGCAGAATATATTTTTAAACATATTTTCATATAAACAATAACTCATATCAGAGAAAATCAGATTCAGTGGTGAGCTTAAATTTCTTAGAGTATTTTGTTCTTTAGAATTAGAACTGACACTTTCTTAAATTTCGAAGGGCCATGAACCTTTTCAGAGTGAAATATCCATTCTTCATACAATTTTTTTAAAGTAGAAATTGCTGTTACGTAGGTATCCATGAGATTCTCCGTGGTGACGTTCACCTATAAAAACAACTTCAGTTAACGTTGAGCTTTGAGAAAATTTAATTGAGCAGAAGTTGATGTTGATCACCCCAAACCAAAGAGTATCTCTAAAGCAAACAAAGAACAACAATGAAACAACAAATGATCAAAAACAAGCAGAAAAACACTTGGAATACAGTCACAAAGGCGACATCCACTAGAGACGGATGCAATTAAACTAAACCAAGCAAAAAATTTTTGAGTGTGTCTTTTGAGCCAAGCCTCTGAATCAAAACTTTTACATAAATCATACTGACATTGAGAACAGTTCTGTGCAGGACAAGATCCTGCCCTAACGTGTAGTATGCGTCTATTCGGAGCATACGTCTTCTGTCTTCCTTCACCCCTTATCTTCCTTCATCTACTTCTGAGGGCTTAACTTCTCCCAACTCTCACAGCAGGTGGCTCACGGTGGCTCCACCCTGGGTCTGCCTTTCTGCAGCCCGCCCCACCCTCTTCCCCCACTGCATGTCTGTTTTCTCCTTAGCATTTGGCACCACACCTGATCCGGAGGGGAGGAAGGCTGGGGTGTGGTTAAGCTCCAGGGCTCTGAAGGCAGCCAACTGGGCAGTAGTTTCTACGTAACAAGCTAACGGCAAACCTCTACCTGCCTCATGAGCTCATTGTGAGGGTTGGTGGTTTCTGGTACGTGTCGCATGTTGTTACTACAGGCTTCAACAGCTGTTTGTCAACTGAATGAATTCATTCACTCTCACTGGTTTGGTGTTAGCTTGACTCTCCTAGCATCTTTGTTTCTTATGCCTCATGAGAAGAGGAGGATAAGGCCGGCACAATTTCCATGGCCAGTTTGACATCTTAGATCCATTGCTTTCTGTCTCATTATTTCAATAAATTCATGACATTGACCTATGCTAACTTGAGCCTACTGCTCTCTGCTGCTTTTGTGACCTGATTCTACCTTGGCAGATATGTCTGCCTCTGGCTCACTTCACCCTCCTGCCCTCTCCAGCCCCGTTGTCCTTTGTGACAAGTTCATATTCGTCATCCACAGTTAGATGCTGCAACCTCCTGCTTTCGTGTCCTCTCTGAGGCTTAAACCAACCATCTCTGTTGCATGGTGGCCACACCGTAAGTGCTTCTCGCCCTGAACTTCATCGTGACCAGGCGCAGTTGTCGTTGCAGGCTCTCTTGCCTGCCCAACTCCTTACCCCTAACCCGGTGGTTCTTACGCTGTGGGACCCTGACCGGCAAAAGCAGCACCAGCATCACCCAGGAACTTGTTAGACATGCATGTTCTCAGGTCTCCCCCTGCACTTACTGGGTCGGAGATGCAGGAGGAGCCCTCCAGGGGACCGTGATGCTTGCTAAAGTTTGAAAACCGTTGCCCCAACCCATCTCATCTCTTCTGCCTTCTCCCTTCCTCCTGTTGGCATTTTACTAATTCCTGTAGAAAGCATCTTATGATTGGAGGTCATCGTGTGCCATTTTTGAAAGCCATTATCATAGAGAACTTTAGAAGGTAAAACATCAAAATAATTTCCAACACTCAGTGAGCGCTATCTCATCCATGATAACAAGAGATGGCGATGTCCTGGGTAGGTAAAAGCGCAAATCATCCATTTTAATCTGGAGGGTTAAATTCTTCCTGTGAGGACATGGGGACAGGCTTTTTAAATAATGCGAATTTTAAAATGCTGGTAAAGAAGCTGATAAACAGTACTAGTAAATAGTAAAATGACATGGACAGCCTGACTAATCTTCAGATTACTCGCACTTAGAATTACCAAGCATTAGGAATACCCAGCTAAGTCCTTAACTTGATGATGGGTATACAAGGACCGTTACAGTAATGTTTCTACTGTGTGTGTGTGTTTGAAAATGTCATTAAAAAGATTGTTAAATAGTACTGAAAAGTGGCAGAATCATTCTATCCCCATATTATATGACTCAGAATCAAATGATTTTCACTTTTGTTAACTACCCATCTTAGTCATAAATGATAATAATGAATGTATTGTACCTATTAGTTTTACTTCTACTAGATATGTATATGTGTGTGTGTGTGTGTCTGTGTACCTGTATGTCTGTGTGTATGTCTGTATAGATGGATGGATGGATGAATAGATAGATAAAATGGTTACCAATCTTAATGTTAAAGAAATTACCAAAAGCTAAGATATGTTTGTGGTGTGTACATTGCTGCTAACTGTGTAAATTGGAAAACCCTTTAGAAAAACAATTTCACAACATCCACTGGACTTTAGAATATTAATAAACATACATTTCATTTATTGGAATTTATTCTAAAGGAAAAGAATTCTAATTGCAGAAAAAAGCTGTATATAGGAAGATGGTCTTTGTTGCATTTTTTTCATAATAGCACAAAACTATCCTTTTGTGACCAACCATAGGGAGATAGCTAAGTAAACATCTGTATATTCATCCAGTATGATCATTAAAATGCTGATTATGCCTATTATAATGCTTATAACAGTAGGGAAAAAAGCAGGACACAAAATTTGATACATAGTAGGATTACAACCAAGGAAAAATATGTACAGAAAAAAGAAACTATTTCTGTTGACTAGAGTGATGCTATGATCAGTACCTTATATCGTCTCCCATTTTTATTTTTTCAAAGGAAATGTATATTTAGCATTTAGGACAAGGGAATTCCCAAGCTTGCTTCCTCTCCAGAGTGATTTGGGCCTTTGTGCCTTAACAAAGGCACTTTTAATCCATAGGGAGCTCAATTTTTCAAGAGTCAATATGTGCCAAGAGGAGTGAGCAATACTGCTTCTCTGTTACTAGCCTAAGCCAGCTGCCTTCGTGAAACCAAGATTCATGGAGAGAGTTTCCAGTAATCCAAATGCAGTTGCGTCTGGTTTTTTTTCCCAATGTTGCTTCTATGGTATGTTTATTAATAACTGTTAAAGTATACGCAGCCTTGTCCCAAAGAGGCAAAACTTGGCAACAGCACTGAAACCCCCTTCCCCTCCGGTTGTCTCAACCAGGATTTTCACTATACCTGGAACATGAGAATCAAAGTGGTTTCCTAGAGATGTTTTAAAGTGAATGGCAGCTGCATCATTATTCCTCCAACCGGGAACTTTAAGCAGAGCTACTTCCCATGGCGTCAGTTTGAACATGCTAAATAAAAGCACGTTAAGAGGACTGGGGAACATCCGTTATGGGATGGTGATGCATGAACACTCAGCCCTTCCCATGCCGAAGACTCCCAGTTCAGCTGTGTAATTTCCAGAGCATTGGCTTAGAGTCTGCTCTGCTCTCGTTTCCTTATTCATGAGTAGTAATCATATTGTTGATCCCAATTATAATGACTGCTGCTACCATTTGGGGCATACAAAAAGGCTGAATTAAAAGAAGAAAAAAAAACCAACACAATCTTCAAATGCCAGTGCTTGTCTGCTTCAGGTTACTATTTTGATATTCATTATATTTTTTCCATGTTTACAGGAGATTCAGGTCAAATACCGTATGTCCTTGAATCATATGCTATTTAAAGCCTGAGGGTTTGTACATTTCTCTATTGAACATACATTCACTGGGCCAGTTCTAATTGGTGGGGGGATAGAGGAGTCCTGTATGTGTGTATATAAAGATAGATACAGATATAGATATCATTGCTAAATAAAATCATAACGATGGGTGCAACATAGCAAAAGGAAAGGAGTATTTACCCAAGATTCACCTTGGAGTCTCCTCATTGTTTCATTTCTACAAGTAAGTCATCTTTCTTCTGGTTTTACATCAGGTATTTGCTCTGCTGGTTTCTGTGTTTCTGACGAGGTATAACTTAGTCTTTCATCTGGGTGTTTATTCATCTTACTGGAATGGCTTTCAGTCCTCTTTAAAAATTAATGTGACTTTAATGTCTAGTTATCTAAGACTCCCCTGGGCTAGGATGAAATCACACTGGGGGAATTTCGATTTGACAAATGGCCATTGTACAGGAGCCTTTGATCCGCCACTGTGGTGTTAACTAGCTAGCCCTTGTTTTGCTGAGCTTGAAGCAGGATCAAAGTGTGCGGCACACGGCATGATCGGTGGCCGGCACTGGGAGAATCCTGGCACTTCCCGGCATCCTTGGGCGATTAGAGCCCACTCCCACCCAGCTTTAGCACCTAGAGAAATTGGACACAGAGGTAACCTGAAGAAGGAATGAGTCTTTTCCTGGGATCTTGCTGCTTGTTGAGTGACATGAAGCCCTTTGCTCCCTGAAGTAGGAATTCCCAATCTTGGTTTTCCAACCTCTGAGATCTGCTGAATTTTTTCACGTTTTTAAAAATGATGAGGAAAAATTAATTTTAATTCATTTTCATTTTTTAAAAAAACAATGCCTAGAAAATGTGATGGATGCTGATTAGAAAGACAGAGAAAACAGGCATATTGCTGAAGATCACTGGAAATTGTTGCCCTGATGGTTAGACAGACATACCTCTAAAGATAAGATAAAGTGTCTTAAAAGCTAAAGAACAGATGTTGGCTTTTGATACTGACCTTGATAAAGATTATTCAGAAGCATCTAGATGCAGCAGGCAGTCAGTGTCGCCCTTTCCTGGAAGGCAGACATTGTCTAACTCTGCAATCTCTTTTCCTGACAGATGGGGAGCTTTCCATATCGAATGAAGACGACTCCTTGGAAAACGGGCAGTCCCTGAGCTCCAGCCAGCTGTCTCTGCCTGCCCTGTCCGAAATGGAGCCAGTCCCAATGCCCAGGGATCCCTGCTCATACGAGGTGCTCCAAGCTTCAGACATCATGGACGGGCCAGGTAATGCCCTTGGCAGGGTTGCAGAGTGGGACTCAGAGTGTGGCGCTGCATGGCTGAACTTGGGACTGTATTTTGGGATATTCTAAGCATAAGGATCTGGAAATTTGGATCAAACTGACCTCATACTAGTTTTTAGTACATACTGAGTGTTTTCAAAATGGAGAGTATTTACACTTATTGTTCCACAGTTTTTAAAACTTTCTTTATAACCTTAATCTTTTTAAATGAGATAGGGCTTATTTTTGTAATATTGCTCATTTAAAATGTCACTGTTTTGTTTTCTAACACTCATCTCTGTTAAGGTAAAGCTGAGAAATTCTATGTTTCTACTGGCACCTACCTAATTTGTCTGTTCCGAATGCCTGGGCATACCCTTTAACATACCAATTAATGGTGGTATTATATCAATTTAGTAAATTGTATCAATTTACTGGATACAGTCAGTTAATTTCATTGTCATCTAAATTGTGTGTGGTTTACTGGTTAAATTATATCCTGCCTATCCATGATTTTTGGTGCCATCTGATGGTCACCTCCCTCTTTGGTCCAAAGTCGTCTGAGTGGCCAGTACTCATTCTCTCAGGTTTGCAGAGTGGTCCTAACTGGCCCAGAAATGGGTCCCTCCAACAGCTGGTGAGGAGTGGTATTTGTTGTCAGGAGACCAGTCTAGGGGAAGGAACCCGTTGAAATATGTGGAGTATGGGCAGAAAGGCCATGTCCCTTTGCCACATCAAGGGTAGAATCCACACCCATGGGAGGTCACCTGGGAGGCCGGGAGGGATGGTGTGTCACAAAGTCAACTCTCATGCTTCACTTTGGGAACTGGAGTCATTGCTCCATCAGTGGGTCCCACATTGATAGCAATACTGTCCCTTGGGACGGGGAGAATTTAGTGCTCACGAGGATTTTTTGCAGGGCTTTGATGCTGCACAGAACACTGTTACCCACGTCAAGCGGGAGGACAGAGGGCAGAGCGGGGAGGAGTCATTTATAGGCGTTCTTGCTGTGGCAGTGATGGGAGGGGAGAGGGTATGCGACTGAGTCACAGTCCCTGTCCCTCCCCCCTGCCTGGCCCAGGGAGAGTTCTCCAAAGAAAGCAGTGAATTTTTAAAATCCCATCTTCCTTGTGACATTGGAATCAGATGGATTTGATTGTTTTAGTGAACTCTGTCATCCCAGAGTGGTCATAGAGTTTCACTCTGTCATCGGCCACGCTACCATCATGAGAGGAAAGTGTGCGCTACCGGCCAGGGACAGCTCTAAACAGGAGCCAGCCAGGGGTTCCCCCTCGGGGGAGAAAAGAGTCAGGCCCAAAGCAGAGCAAAGAGAAATGGGTGAATTGAAACAAGAAAACTGTAATTCTGGCAAGCAAGAGGAGAGAGGAACGGAGAAGAATGGAAGGGGTTGACTTGCAGCATCTGTGCCTTGTCGCAGTGGCAGAGGCAGGATGGTGTCCCTAAAACTACGGAGCACTGACTCGGAGGAGGCTGCTCAGCACTGAGCACCAGAACCCAGAGGAGCAGCCACCCGAGGCATGTGGGTGCAGCCCATGTGGTGTCAGCCTGGCAGGCTGTCATCAGTCCCTGGTGTCCCAGACCTGAGGGCAGGACAGAGCGGGACCCAACGAGCAAAACAAGACTCCCTGCGTGTTTGAACCCACACTCTCCTCCCTGCAGCAAAAGGCAAATGGGCCCGAGCCAGGGGTTGGAGGGGCTCTTCGTCCTTGATCTCCTATACCTGCCAACCTGTCACTTGTTGCTGTAGCCCCACGAGTCACATTTCAGAGCATCCTAGGATTTGTATGGTGAACGCCGAGTCTGAAATGGTAAAGTTTCTGATGGTTTTGAGAAAACGCCCTCCTCTCTCTCCCTCTCGCTCTCTCCATCTCTCCCTCTCTCTTCCTCTGCCCCCTCTACATCCCTCCTGCTCTGTCGGATTCCCGGTGTCCTCACTGTGACCCTCCACACGTGCGTGGTGACCCGAAGCAGTCGGCGCTCTGCTGTGTTGCTATCCCGTGTCCCTGTCCTGTGTCCCCCGCCGGCCCCGCCTGCACTGCGTTTGTGTAATGTCTCCTGTGTATCATGTGGTTGTCCCCTCAGTGTCTGAAGAGAGTCCCTCTGCCAGTGAGTGTGGAGTCCTCCTGTCCCAAGATCCTTCAGCCAAACCAGTCCTGCTACTGCCCCCCAAAAAACCTGCTGCTTTCCCTGCAGACCATGAGGAGACCCCAGTGAAGCAGCTATCCCTCCTCAAGCAACCCCCGGCCCTGCCTCCCAAACCCACTGCCAGGATTGCCAACCACTTAACAGGTGAGTGGAGCCGTCTTCCGGGGGCGTGCTGCCCCTCCTTCCCTTCAAGGGATCATTTCTTTCTCTCTTGTTCTTTCTCTCTGAGGCCTAAATGCACCTCTCTGGGGAGGTTCCCCTGTGGGATGTTTGGGTGTTTCTGTGTGTGTCTTGGTACCCACAGTCATGAGCAGGGTTTGTGCTTTTGTGTCAAGAAGCATTCGATATACACGTACCAGCCATTTGCCTGGAGCCTTCAGTTGTGTGTATCTGTAAATATGTGCGTTGTATTTATGTGACTAATTCAGGATTATTTGCCCATCTGGACAAAGTCGATTCAGCATCAACATTTTTGCAGAGATAACGAATAGTGCCTTTTCCCTTCCTGAGGAGTTTGTCAAGGCTTTAAGTTTTTTGTCTTCAGGTTATTGATCTGAAGCCCAGTGTCTTTCTTCCATTAAAATTCATTTCAGTACTGTCTGATCTCTTAAAAAAGAAAAACAAAAAGCAAAGATAATCTGCCAAGCACATGGGAAATACTTTTAGAAGAAGAATAAGCTTAGCAATGTTGTCCTAAAATGGTTTTTGTATTTTCATTTTGAAGTGTTACTTAATGAATGTATCCACAGTTATTAAATTGGGCATTCAGTGAAATTGTACTTCACTGCACGCTGGCACGTGAATTAGATGCCATTCTGTGATTTAAGGCTGTGGTATAATCAGAGATTAAAAGATTTCAGGGGGTTATTTCTCCAATTTTGATTATAATCCCTACCTGATACTGTCTTTTTACAATGTATTCAGTGTTTTTATAAATAGTATCTGATTGATCTCTATAGCATTTTGTAACATTAATCGGGGTGGGGGTAGGGAAGAATATTCACCTAACTTAGAGTAGAAACACTGAGGTTTAAGAAAAAGAAGTGACTTTTCCAGGGCCAACAGGAATTCTGGAATAGAGGCCCAGGTAGACCCTGTGTTTCCCAACTCCTGCTTCAGTGAATGTCGTTTCCATGATAGCAGCTGTCTCCCACGTAGAGTCCAGCTTAGGCGTGGGCTTGTGTCAAACTACCCTGCTAATGTGTGTGTCCACCCAAGTCAGAGGTTTGCGGTTTGAAAGAGAAAGAGCAATGTTTCCATCTAAAAGGACCATTCCACACATTAATAATATGTTAGTTCAGTGCCCCAAAATTCAAATTCACAGGAGAAAATGCCGTGGAAGCCTCCTCCTAAGAGATAACAACTGTCCGTTTATCTAATAAAAATCAAGTATTGCTGTACATATTGTTTTATCGTCTGCTTTTTGCACTTGGTGATATGTTGTGAACTCATTCTCGTGTTAGCAAATATTCCACGACATGATTTTATTAGCTGCTTAGCGTGGATCAGGGTTTACTCAAATGACTCCTTAAGGTTTTTCCATCTTCTCTATTGCAAAAGCACAGCAGTGGACCTGCACAACGGCCTGCATGTATCTTTACAAGCGTCTCTGAGCTTTCCCTAATTTATTTCTAGAGCCAGCATTGCCGAGTCAAAGAATATGTATCTTTTAAGGCTTTGATGTCAAATTTCCCTTAAGAAGGATTAAATATGTGCAAAATAACCCCCTTCATGTGATACATAATTATTTAACACACCTACCGTGGGAAGAATTCTGTGCGAAGTATCAGAGCGCATTCGAGTATATGACCGTTTAAGGAATACATGTACATATATAAAATAGAGTGCTACAGTGGCTGCTATAAAGAATAACACTTGTAGTTCAGTGTGGTCTCGTAAAGCGGTTACAGGAGGAGGCTGAATCTTGAGCTGAGTTGTCAAGCGTGAAGGGCATTCCAGGAAAGAGGACCCTGGACAAAGGCTCAGAGGTGGCAGTGTTTTGGGTCTTTGAAGAGTTGACTCTGCTGGACTGGAGGCTTCATTTTGAGGTGTACTGAGAGAGAGGTTCACTAGGTAAAGGCCTGCAAGGATTTAGATTTTATTCCCTAGGCATTGGGAAAGCCTTTGGAGGTGTTTGAGCAGGGGAGGATGTGATACAAACTAGCCTTTAAAATGTATCTTCCTGGGCCACTGGGTAGAATGAGCAGGAGAAGGAGAAGGTTGGAATCCTGTCAGAGAAACTACCTCCAAGGCTACATACAGCTCTAGGCCGTGTACTCCAAAATCACTAGTTGAATAATTGGACCAATCTGAGCCAGATTGGTCCAGTCGATGGATAGCAGTGAGAAGAGAGAGACCAGACCAGTAGATGAGACATTGTTAAAGAAGAGTTGACAAAATTTCTTAACTAACACCATCTTCTAATTTATAAAGTTATCTAATTAATGGAGGCAACTTGAGCTTTATCTGTGAGGCCAGAAGCGTAAGTGGCCTGATATCCACAGGACTCTTTACATGTGAAAGACCAAAGGTATCTAAATTGGCCTAATCTCTCTGGCTTCCCTGGTCTTTCCCAGGAGGGCAGACTATATCATCTGTGCTCATCACCTCCATATAGCCTGGATCAAATGAATAAAAATACACAAAAGCTAATATCTTTACCATAGCTGTACCTGGTAACCTCTAAAATATGATAAAGACAACACAAGTAGAGAAGTCTGTGGACTGTGAGTCTAGTGCTACCCTTTTGGGTTTAAATTCAATTAGACTTGCTTAATTTTTATAAGTGAGCAATCAGTCATAATGAATCTGCATCGCCGTGAAGCTGCTACATTAACC